CATTAAAATTGTCGAAAATGGGCAAAAAATTGAATTTTTTAAAATGATAAACTGAGTATGCAGGTTTGTTATCCTAATAAAAACTAGCACAGGACAGCTCTCCGATTTGAATTTAATGCATTTTTGGCTTTGTTATGCATTTTTTAAAGTTTGATAGGTCGCCAAAATTGTGGTAAAAAAATATGGGTAAATATTGGCTCAAAGAATGGATTATAATTTTAGCCACAAGGTTGTTAAAAATGTAAAATTAAGTATGCAGGTTTGTTACCCTAATAAAAACTAACACAGGACAGCTTTCCGATTTGAATTTAATGCATTTTTGGATTTGTTATGAAGTCTGTAACATTTGATTGGTCGAAAAAATTGTGGTATAAAAATAATGGTAAATATTGGCTCAAAGAATGGATTATAATTTTAGCCACAAGGTTGTTTCTAATGTTAAATTAAGTATGTAGGTTTGTTACCCTAACAGAACCTAATACAGGACAGCTTTTCGATTTGAATTTAATGCATTTTTGGATTTTTATGAATTTTATAAAATTTGATTGGTCATAAAAATAGTGGTTAAAAAATTGGCACAAAGAATGGGTTTCAATTTTAGTCCGAAGGCTGTAAAACAGTGAAGGAGTCATTTCCGACCCTATAAACCGTATATATTCTTGATCAGCATTAAAAGCTGAATCGATCTAGCTTTGTCCGACCAAAATCTATTTTTTGCAAAATTTTCGAAAATTTCAATTTTTTATAAGGGGTTACATCATTAAAATTGTCGAAAATGGGCAAAAAATTGAATTTTTTAAAATGATAAACTGAGTATGCAGGTTTGTTATCCTAATAAAAACTAGCACAGGACAGCTCTCCGATTTGAATTTAATGCATTTTTGCCTTTGTTATGCATTTTTTAAAGTTTGATAGGTCGTCAAAATTGTGGTAAAAAAATATGGGTAAATATTGGCTCAAAGAATGGATTATAATTTTATCCACAAGGTTGTTAAAAATGTAAAATTAAGTATGCAGGTTTGTTACCCTAATAAAAACTAACACAGGGCAGCTTTCCGATTTGAATTTAATGCATTTTTGGATTTTTTATGAAATCTGTAACATTTGATTGGTCGAAAAAATTTTGGTATAAAAATAATGGTAAATATTGGATCAAAGAATGGATTATAATTTTAGCCACAAGGTTGTTTCTAATGTTAAATTAAGTATGTAGGTTTGTTACCCTAACAGAACCTAATACAGGACAGCTTTTCGATTTGAATTTAATGCATTTTTGGATTTTTTATGAATTTTATAAAATTTGATTGGAAATAAAATAGTGGTTAAAAAATTGGCATAAAGAATGGGTTTCAATTTTAGTCCGAAGGCTGTAAAACAGTGAAGGAGTCATTTCCGACCCTATAAACCATATATATTCTTGATCAGCATTAAAAGCTGAATCGATCTAGCTTTGTCCGACCAAAATCTATTTTTTGCAAAATTTTCGAAAATTTCAATTTTTCATAAAGGGTTACATCATTAAAATTGTCGAAAATGGGCAAAAAATTGAATTTTTTAAAATGATAAACTGAGTAAGCAGGTTTGTTATCCTAATAAAAACTAGCACAGGACAGCTCTCCGATTTGAATTTAATGCATTTTTGGCTTTGTTATGCATTTTTTAAAGTTTGATAGGTCGTCAAAATTGTGGTAAAAAAATATGGGTAAATATTGGCTCAAAGAATGGATTATAATTTTAGCCACAAGGTTGTTAAAAATGTAAAATTAAGTATGCAGGTTTGTTACCCTAATAAAAACTAACACAGGACAGCTTTCCGATTTGAATTTAATGCATTTTTGGATTTGTTATGAAATCTGTAACATTTGATTGGTCGAAAAAATTGTGGTATAAAAATAATGGTAAATATTGGATCAAAGAATGGATTATAATTTTAGCCACAAGGTTGTTTCTAATGTTAAATTAAGTATGTAGGTTTGTTACCCTAACAGAACCTAATACAGGACAGCTTTTCGATTTGAATTTAATGCATTTTTGGATTTGTTATGAATTTTATAAAATTTGATTGGTCATAAAAATAGTGGTTAAAAAATTGGCACAAAGAATGGGTTTCAATTTTAGTCCGAAGGCTGTAAAACAGTGAAGGAGTCATTTTCGACCCTATAAACCATATATATTCTTGATCAGCATTAAAAGCTGAATCGATCTAGCTTTGTCCGACCAAAATCTATTTTTTGCAAAATTTTCGAAAATTTCAATTTTTCATAAAGGGTTACATCATTAAAATTGTCGAAAATGGGCAAAAAATTGAATTTTTTAAAATGATAAACTGAGTATGCAGGTTTGTTATCCTAATAAAAACTAGCACAGGACAGCTCTCCGATTTGAATTTAATGCATTTTTGGCTTTGTTATGCATTTTTTAAAGTTTGATAGGTCGCCAAAATTGTGGTAAAAAAATATGGGTAAATATTGGCTCAAAGAATGGATTATAATTTTAGCCACAAGGTTGTTAAAAATGTAAAATTAAGTATGCAGGTTTGTTACCCTAATAAAAACTAACACAGGACAGCTTTCCGATTTGAATTTAATGCATTTTTGGATTTGTTATGAAGTCTGTAACATTTGATTGGTCGAAAAAATTGTGGTATAAAAATAATGGTAAATATTGGCTCAAAGAATGGATTATAATTTTAGCCACAAGGTTGTTTCTAATGTTAAATTAAGTATGTAGGTTTGTTACCCTAACAGAACCTAATACAGGACAGCTTTTCGATTTGAATTTAATGCATTTTTGGATTTTTTATGAATTTTATAAAATTTGATTGGTCATAAAAATAGTGGTTAAAAAATTGGCATAAAGAATGGGCTTCAATTTTAGTCCGAAGGCTGTAAAACAGTGAAGGAGTCATTTCCGACCCTATAAACCATATATATTCTTGATCAGCATTAAAAGCTGAATCGATCTAGCTTTGTCCGACCAAAATCTATTTTTTGCAAAATTTTCGAAAATTTCAATTTTTCATAAAGGGTTACATCATTAAAATTGTCGAAAATGGGCAAAAAATTGAATTTTTTAAAATGATAAACTGAGTAAGCAGGTTTGTTATCCTAATAAAAACTAGCACAGGACAGCTCTCCGATTTGAATTTAATGCATTTTTGGCTTTGTTATGCATTTTTTAAAGTTTGATAGGTCGTCAAAATTGTGGTAAAAAAATATGGGTAAATATTGGCTCAAAGAATGGATTATAATTTTAGCCACAAGGTTGTTAAAAATGTAAAATTAAGTATGCAGGTTTGTTACCCTAATAAAAACTAACACAGGACAGCTTTCCGATTTGAATTTAATGCATTTTTGGATTTGTTATGAAATCTGTAACATTTGATTGGTCGAAAAAATTGTGGTATAAAAATAATGGTAAATATTGGATCAAAGAATGGATTATAATTTTAGCCACAAGGTTGTTTCTAATGTTAAATTAAGTATGTAGGTTTGTTACCCTAACAGAACCTAATACAGGACAGCTTTTCGATTTGAATTTAATGCATTTTTGGATTTGTTATGAATTTTATAAAATTTGATTGGTTATAAAAATAGTGGTTAAAAAATTGGCACAAAGAATGGGTTTCAATTTTAGTCCGAAGGCTGTAAAACAGTGAAGGAGTCATTTTCGACCCTATAAACCATATATATTCTTGATCAGCATTAAAAGCTGAATCGATCTAGCTTTGTCCGACCAAAATCTATTTTTTGCAAAATTTTCGAAAATTTCAATTTTTCATAAGGGGTTACATCATTAAAATTGTCGAAAATGGGCAAAAAATTGAATTTTTTAAAATGATAAACTGAGTATGCAGGTTTGTTATCCTAATAAAAACTAGCACAGGACAGCTCTCCGATTTGAATTTAATGCATTTTTGGCTTTGTTATGCATTTTTTAAAGTTTGATAGGTCGCCAAAATTGTGGTAAAAAAATATGGGTAAATATTGGCTCAAAGAATGGATTATAATTTTAGCCACAAGGTTGTTAAAAATGTAAAATTAAGTATGCAGGTTTGTTACCCTAATAAAAACTAACACAGGACAGCTTTCCGATTTGAATTTAATGCATTTTTGGATTTGTTATGAAGTCTGTAACATTTGATTGGTCGAAAAAATTGTGGTATAAAAATAATGGTAAATATTGGCTCAAAGAATGGATTATAATTTTAGCCACAAGGTTGTTTCTAATGTTAAATTAAGTATGCAGGTTTGTTACCCTAATAGAACCTAATACAGGACAGCTTTTCGATTTGAATTTAATGCATTTTTGGATTTGTTATGAATTTTATAAAATTTGATTGGTCGTAAAAATAGTGGTTTAAAAATTGGCACAAAGAATGGGTTTCAATTTTAGTCCGAAGGCTGTAAAACAGTGAAGGAGTAATTTCCGACCCTATAAGCCATATATATTCTTGATCAGCATTAAAAGCTGAATCGATCTAGCTATGTCCGACCAAAATCTATTTTTTGCAAAATTTTTGAAAATTTCAATTTTTCATAAGGGGTTACATCATTAAAATTGTCGAAAATTGGCAAAAAATTGAATTTTTTAAAATGATAAACTGAGTATGCAGGTTTGTTATCCTAATAAAAACTAGCACAGGACAGCTCTCCGATTTGAATTTAATGCATTTTTGGCTTTGTTATGCATTTTTCAATAATCGACAAAAGTTGTATAATTTTTACATTTTAAATTGAGTATGCAGATTTTTTAACCCAAAAAAAAAAGGATTGGAAAGGTTTTCGAAATGAAAATGATGCGTTTTTGGCTCAGTTATAAGATTTAAAAATGAAAATAAAAATTTATTTTTTTAAATATTCAATTCGATTTGCAGATTTATTTACCTAATAAAACTAGCGCAGTAAAGCTAGCCAAGATCTCATCTAAATAATAAAATTTTAAAAAGGGTAATGATAATTTGGAGGGTATCAATTAAAATTTAATTAAAACATGGCAAATATCATTACTACAAAAAAATATATGAATTAAAAATCAATCAAGAATTCATTCATCCTTCAAACGATCATAGTAGGAGAAAACTACCAGCCAAAAGTACAGACCCAAAACTGTAGGATTATCATATTGCTATAATATAATATAATAGTTTAATCAAGTAATTGAATCTTACCCGATTGAATTACATCAAAGACGAGATAATTGTTTACAATTCCCTCCGTGGCCACAAACACACCCTCGACTACTAATATGAAGAAACGGAGACAGGATACCGAGAGATAAGGCATAAGAAAACATCGCAGTCCCTAAACAAAAAACATGTGTTAGCTGGAAAAATATAAAAACCAAGCTTACTGACTCACCAGCAGGGCTCCAAAAAACAGACAAATGCAGGAAATTACATAGATACCGCTCACGATCAGGGAAAAGAATCCCATCACACTGTCACCTAGGAAAAAGAAATCAAACTATTCGATCTATTAATTTCAACGACCAACTTACGATCCACAAAGAATCGATCCAGGCCTCGGATGAGCACCTCAATGATGGCTATCAAAATGCAGCCACACTTGAGCCCTATGCAGCAACAGCAATTATCCGAGTAGATCATTTTCGATTTTTGTTTCGCTGAAATATTTCAAAGCCAGTTTTAGACATTCACAGCCTGGCCAACTAAAAGCAACATGAATTATGCTGAACTGACATTCTGATCACGTTTCATGTTCACTGCTGCTGGGCTTGGCATAATTAATGAGGCTTGGGACAATTAAGGTCATTGCCATGGTATTTGCTGTCCTACATATAGAAAATAATACAATACATCTTTCACAATATGGACATTACATATGTATACTTTATTATTGAATCTAAACTGTTAGGTTAATGTACAAGAACCGAAGCTCTTTGCGTCTGGGCAACTGCTGCGATATTGAAATTTGATTGGGTGAATGTTTATATGTATATAAGCTTAAGAATAGTTAAATGCGAGGAGTCTTATTTCTAGCCCAGTAAACGAAAAGATTATAGTCAGCCTGCAGCGGACTTTCGTCTGCGTGTCCGTTGAATTGGCCGACTTATGGAAACCGTCCACCGTTGTTAAAGTTATTGGGTGATGGGCGACGAATGGGTCGCCTGCTGCGGGCTCGTGGAGAGAAGACGCGGTTGCTGGATGGCGGCTGATCCCTTTGCACATTGCCCGGGGACGTCTCCCGCTGCCAGACGATACGCTGCGGACGATTAGGGTTGTTGGAAGGGCCGCCGCGCATCATGGTTCGATTTCCGCGACGTGTCGGTACTGCACTGCGCAGAGTACGGAATCGAGTGTTTTCTGACGGCGAGGTGGCCTCCGCTTCGCGACCCTCCTCCTTTAAGAACAGAAACAAAGTTGTGAATTTCAAATAATCAAGTGGGATTTAATAACGCATCCTTACTTCCACACCCACCGCCTGCTTCTCTCCCTCAGAGGAGACACCGTCCGCTCCCTCGCTGTCCTCAGTGGGATTGCCCTCGGCCTGATTCGCCTGGTTATCGGACACTTCGGACTGGCTAGTGCCCACATTTGGATCTGTATTGGACAACCAATTAGCTTTGAGGTAATTTCAATAATTTAATCAATCTTACTGTCACTTCCTAGAGGCTGCGAATCTTCTCCTTGACCAGAAGCCATCGTTTCCTCGGCGAAAGCTTCATCCGCCTCACTGGCATCCTCAGCGCCTACAGCTTGATCACTCTCGCCCAATGCCTTGCTGACAGCATCGTTACCACTGCTCTCTCCGGCCTCGCCTTGCTTCTGCGGCGAACTAGCTGCTGCAGCACTATTATCGCTGGGTCCTGCACTTTCGTCCGGAGCACCCTCCATGGGCACTGAGGTGCCGTCGACTTCGGCAGATTCCAAGCGGGCTGGCTGCTCACTAAAGTTGGACACTTGCGGCGAACTGACAATCTCCATCGAGCTATTAGGATAATCAAATTTAGATTGCTTTTTTGTTTCATAAGATGTTTGGGAATCAAACAAACCTTTCGGTGCGCCGAGCTGCCGCCGAGGATGTGGAGGCGGCTGCCTGTTTCCAATTGGAAGCATCAGCTTGTGGCAGAGTCAACGGATTGGAGGACTCGCCACTTCCACTGCTGATGGCCTGGCTCTGGTTGTTTTCCGGTCCAGAGGCAGAGGCCGCCGAGGTGGGCACTGCAGCAACAGCCTGGCTATCGAGCAACTGACTCTCTTCCTGCCCCTGCAGTTGCTGCTCTGGCACCTCCTCGATGTCGACCTCGTTGTTGTCCTGTGCATCCGCAGCTATCTCGTTATCATCGTCGGCTCCTTCATTGTCGTCCATCTCATTGTCTTGTTCGTAGGAATCCTCATACACTTCCTGCTCGGCCTCACCGCCTTCAATCGGACCATCATCGGCATCGGCAAGAACATCCTCCTCATCATCAGAGTCCACTACTTGAATATCGTCCTCCTGATCGCGCTGCGATGAGGTCGGCATCTGATCAACGTCCATACCAGAGTCTCCGATATGTCCGGCAGAGAGCTCTCCACTGTGCATCGGGCCGCGCAGTCGCTTCGTCATTTTGGGCATCTTTTCGGGCCCGCCCTCCTCGTTGGTGGTGGAGGAATCGCCCTCAACGTCGCGCGGGCGCTTGATACCCACCGAGGAGCAGCCGGCCTGAGTAGTGGTCACATTGCTGCTGGACGGGGTATGCCTGCTGTGGCTGCTCACCACCGTCGAAGAGCTGCTGCTGCTGCCTGACGTGCTGGGTTGCTGGCTTTGGTTACCGCCATCCTGCACACTCGGAGCTGTGACATTCGGTGCAGATGTGGAGCTAGATGACGAAGAGGATCCCTCGACGCGTGGCGACACCAATGCCACCACCTGTTGCTGGGCTCCGCCCACGAACAACTGGGCATCGTTCTGCTGTGGATGCTGAATGCTCTCCGCCTCCTGGGAACTCTCGGCAGCGGAGGTGGCGCCCATTGGTGGGATAGCAGCCACTGCAACTGCCGCCGAACTAGTGGATGGCATGTAATCGGTGTGCGAGGATGTGGGCGAAGAGGAGGCCATTGATTCCAAAGCAGCACTGCCGGTGGTGTGGACCTGCTGTTGGGGTGGAACCAGAGCGGTCTGGGCTGCCGCCGAGCTGCCTCCGCTGGCTGCCGCGGATGTGGTGGAAGTCGAGGACGATGAAGACGAGGAGGAGGAAGTTGATGCACTGGATCCAGCTGAGGGCTGTTGGCTGGTGGGCAAAATGGCAGCCGTGCGGCTGTTCTGCACTGAAATGGGCCGAATGCTGGCCAGCGGAGTCTCGCCGCCACGCCAAGGAGTCACGGTGGCCGACTGCTGGACAGTGGCTGATCCTGACATGGGCTTCACATTGGCGGTGCGAGGCGAGCTCTCGGAAATATTACCCTTCTCGGCCACGGAGCTGGTCGATGGCTTTGTTGATTGCTGCGAACCCAGCTGACGGGTGAGCTGATTGATTCTCATATGCAGTGATTCGTTCTCGCGGGTAAGCCGCTGGTTTATCTCCTTATTGGATGCTATATTCTCTTGTAGCTCCTTCTCCAGGCGCGCAATGGTTTCGTCGTAAGATGACTTGGTACCCGCAAATGTGGTCTCTTGGTTAGCTAAGTCGGTTCGAGCCACGGTTAGGTCCACAACCAGTTTATCCAACTTGGCCTTGTATTCTTGGCGAACAACATTGCTGTCCGTGTCGGATTCGGTGCGCTTCTTCAGCTCTTCGTTTTCTTTGGTAACCTTTTCGTGCTCCTCTTTTAGGGCTCGCAGTTGGTTGTTTACCTCTTCTAACTCGCCGCGAATCTTCTCCTGCTCTGCTACTGTCTCTGAGCCTCCAGCTTGGGCCTGCAGGCCCATGTAATAGTCCTTGTAGCGCTTGGCTAGCTTGCGCAACTGCAGCTCCTTGGTGTCCTTGTCTGCAATAGTTTTGTCCTTGGTCTCCAGCTCCTCGTTGGCCTTCAGGAGCTCTTCCTCCTTCTGCAGCAGGCGGTTCTTTAGCTCCATAATGTCCTGTGTCTGGCGCGTGTTATTCTGCTTAAGGCTGGTGGACTCCTCAGCCTGCTTCTTGCGAGCCTCATCGAGCAGCTGCAGGTTCTTGTTTAACGACGGGATTTCGGTTTCCAGGCGTTGTTTCAGCGTGGCCAATTCCTCCAGCTGTTTTTTGCTCAGATCCTTCTCGGCGGTGAGCATTTTGGCCAAGTGCTCGCGCTCGGCCTGCAGTCGCTTGAACTCCTCTGGGTTGCGGTTGCTCTTCTCTACCAGCACATTGGCACGCTGCCGCCACTTGATGGCTTCGGTCCGCAACGAGTTGGTCTCCAAATTTAGCTCTTCGATCTTCGAAGATAGCTCCTTGTTGCTGCATTGCAGCGGGAACAACTCCTGCTCTAGACTGCTAATGCGATCGGTGAGTTCAGTGACGCGCACGACTAAGGCATTGCGTTCTTCTCGCAAAATACGGTTGCTGTCCGTAATGGCGTTAAGAGTCTCGATCTTGCGCAGCACCTCCTCATGCTTGGTGGCGGACACCACGTCCGTCTGGTTCTTGGCACGCTCTTGGTTCAGAAAACCATTCAGTTCGTCCATTTTCTTTTGCTGAATTGTGTGCTCCGTGCTGAGGCGTGCATTTTCCGCCTTAAGTATGTCCAGCTTGGCAGCAAACAGATCCTTCTCCTTGCGCAGGAACTTAATAATCATCAGCAATTGCTCGTTATTTTTCACTTCCTCGCCACTGTCGAGGCCAGAGACATTCAGGCTTTGATTACCGTCTACGGCTGACTCATTCAATATAGATGTGTTTGGCTCCGCGTTTCGAGTGGAGAGAGCAGTCAATTTGGAGGTCAACGCTTCAATCTGATTGTGCAGACTGGAGTTCAAGGCATGTAGATCCATCACGCGCTGCTCTGACTCCTCTTTCTCGGCCTTCAGCACCCTCTGGGCCTCCGCATTAGAGCGCAGGAGATCGTCATGGGCGGCTTGCAACGATTCGCGTCCAGACCTTAACTGTTTTAGCTCATCTTGAACCTTGAAGAAGTCTGCCTTGATCCGGGTTAGCTCCTGGATGTCCGCCGAGTGCAGCACCATCTCGTTGGCATACTTCATCTCCACAGCATTAAGGGACTCGGCCAGAGCAGAGTTTTCGGTTCGCAGAGTGAAAATGGTGTTACCCGACTCCGTGAGTTTCTCCAACGCCTTCTTTAGCTCGTCTTGAGCTATTTTCAGCTGATCCGACTGGTTAATCGTCTTGCTTTGCTCTGTAACATTAGCCAGCATCGACTCCGCCTCAAGCACGGTGATGCGGGTCTTTAGCTCGTCTTCGGAGCTTCTCAGTTTCTTTATTTCCGCCTCCTGATTGGCCACCAACTCTGTATGGATTTCGTGAAGGCGCTTGATCTCGCTCTCGGCAGTTTGCGACATCTTGAAGAACTGCTCGCCGTGCTCACGAGCCTTGGCCAGCTCCTTCGTAAGCGATTCAATCTCGACTGTAGCCTGGTCGAACTTCAGCTCAAATTCCCTGGCCCGTTTATTGGCCGTTGCTATAGGATTTTCGTTGATTGAAGGCGTGAGGCTCTCTTGTAGCTTCTTGCTCAACTCGTTTACTTGGCTTTCCTTCTTAGCGAGTTCTTCGCGAACACCCAGCAACTCGGCATGCCACTTCTCAGCCAGCTGTTTCTCCTCCTCCTTTAGCTTGACGGCGGTCTCTGTCTGTCGCTTAAAATCGTTAATGGTTTCGTTGAACTTCTCCTCCTGCTCTTGGAAATGTCGGCGTTGAGCAGCCAGCTCCCTGACACTGTCGTCCAGTCTCTGCTCCAAACGCTGGCGGCCCTCCATCTCGGACCGTTCCAGATTGGCCTTAATGAACTCCAGATTATTCAAGAGAAGTGACTGGCTTTGTTGCTCACGGTGGTAGGCCTCCTTTTCGATTTGCAGGCGGGACAAAGTGTCCTTCAAGATGCGAGTTTCTTGGCGAAGGCTATGAGCCTCTGAATCGGCAGCAGCGTGCTTGCGATGAGCGGCCATTACTTCATCCTTGAGCATGAGCACCGTCTGCTCATGCTTCACAATAGTCTTTTCATAGCTCTTTGTGCGTTCCTCCAGAGCCGTCACCTGCTGCTTGTAGGTTTTAATGTTTTTGTGCAGCAACTCTATCTGATCCTTTTGGAATTCAGCGGCGTTTAAGAGCTTGCAGTTAGCACTGGTCAGCTCTCGCATCTCCTTGCGCATCGAATCGAATTGCTCCTGGGCCAATGCGTCGTTTTTGCGCTTCTCGCTGGTGTAATAGTCGTAGTTTTCCTTTAGCTCAGCATACTTCTTGGTTTCCCTCTCCAGGTCTTGCTCTAAGGAGCGTACACGCTCCTCCAGCTTGCTTATGTCTTCTAATTTGGCAGCAGACTTTGTTGATGTGTCAAGCGTTAATGATTCGTCGATATCCGAGCTGGCATCATCCAGATCCACGACTTTCTTGCCCAGTTTCATTTGGAGAGAAAAGTAAAGCTGCTTGTAGCGCTCACATTTGGCGAGCAGCGTGGTAATCGAATTATTCTTCTGTGATAGCACCTCCTCTAGCCCGGCGAAGCGTTCGTTGGCCTTCTTCAGCTTCTCTTCGTAATGCTCTAACTTAAGCTTGTCATTGTCCTTCTCCTGCTCTTCAGCCATTGCGGTCAGTTCCCTGGTAATGGCCAACAATTTGACATTGTTCTCCTGTAGCTCCTGAATGGAGTCGAAGGTTACCAGTTCTCTGGTGATTAGGCCGTCTGTGGTCATTTCCATGCGGTCGTCGCGCTCTGACCTGTTGCGACTGCGGGGCACCCCGGACCGCAAGCAGTTTAATTCATCTAGAAGCATGCATACCTGGCGGCTGAGATCGCTATGCGTCTGCTTTAGCTTTTTGCCCTCATTCTGACAACAAGTCAGATTAAAAGAGGTCCTCTCCAACTCATGCTCGAGTGAGAGATTCTGCTCGGCCAATTGGTTGCGTTGCTCGGTGAGCAGAGCATGCTCCTCGATCAATTTCTGGTGGTCGTTGCCCTGTTTCTGCACCAATGGAGCGCTCTCGCTGACCTCCGCCAAGATAGACTTGATCTGCAGCTTTAACTGAGCATTCTCGCGGTTACGCACCTCTAGTTCTTCGCTGGCCTTGGCATACATCGAGTACAGTTCGGTCAGGGAAAGATCGGAGCGCATAAGGCGACTAGCCACGGCAGCACTGGGAGCTAACTGGCAAATGGCGCTTTCTAGAGTGCGATTCTGGGCCTCCTTCAGCAACTCGTTGGCACCGGCGATCTCGTGCTTCATATCCTCAATCTTCTGATTCAGTTCGTCCACCTCGACGACATGCTGCTTCTTAATATCCAGCTTCTCCGCCTCTAGTTTGACGGTTTTTTCAACCTCGGCGTCTAACATCCGCTTTATTTCCGCAACGGCTCCAATAAGCTCTTCGCGCTCGGTCACAATAGTGTTCTCGGTGTTCTTCATTAGATTGATTAGGGCCTCCTTTGCGGCGATTTCCGTCATCATGTTCTGCATATAAAGATCCGAGTTCTTATTGTGGCTTTGGAGGTTCTCATTCGCCATTCGGACCTTTTCAGTCAGCTCCTCGATTAGTTTGGCATCATCTGCAGTTTTATTTTGCAAAAACTGAATGGTCTCGCTCTTCTCTTCAAGACGCGCTTCAAGCTGCATGGTGGTCAGAGAGTGTTCGCGGCGGATGTTCTGCAGCTCAGCATTGCTACGGTTGAGATCGGTGCTGAGTAGCTGGATCTCCTGCTGCTGCATGGTACGTTCGGTCTCGTAGCGGCGCTCCTTAATACCAAGTGCCAGCTCCTTGCTCTGGATCTCGTCCACGCGGGCGATTGCCTCGCACTTGGCTATAATGGCGGCATTTAACTGCTGCTGGTAGTTCTGCAGGTCCTGTTTCAAACGATCAATCTCTGCCTGCTGACGCTCGATGACCCTCATCAGCGAGTCACGTTCTTCGATCGCTATGGTCTTCTCGTGCCGCAGGCTGCACAAGGTTTGCTCGAAACTGCTCACATTTTCTTGGAGCTGGGTCCTTTCCGTAACCACCTGGTCTAGTTGCGTGCGCAGTTCTGACACATTTTTCTCAAAGTTTTCAAACTTAACCGTGTAGTCCTCCATTTTAGATGTTAGCTCTTCGTTCTTTTGCTCAGCTTCCTCTGCCGAATAAAGCAATATGTTAATTACTAGTTTGTACCCTTAAGGTTTAGGTCAATCTATGATTTCAAAAGAAATAATTCAGATAACTAACAAATTATGTGCAACCTTCAAGACAGCGCTTGTCAAAAAGATGACAAATTATATCTGACACTTGGACTCAAGTGTCATTTATGCAGACAAACTTAACACATTATTTGACTGTAGTGTAAACAGTTTTGGTTGCATTAATGATTTTTGACAGAAATTGGTAGTTTAAAAAATACGAAATCAAAAAAGTAAACTCAAATTTGGCGGCTTTTTGAGCACTTTCAGTGTTACCACACCGGGGGCGGCCATTGTTGAAATGTGCAACAAGCCGGGCATAAAAAAAGCATAGCTGCACGCCAAGAAAATATGCAAATTTACTTCTAGCACGTCAAATTCATTGGGCATACTTCGAATTGCAGCTTAGACACGAGTTTTCATGCTAGTGGAGGCTTTAAGTACCGGAAAACTGAGATGCCAGGAGGGGGCAACCACTCAAGAAAACTGCATCACGAGCTTGGGGCCTCAGTACAGATAACATGTAAGTGTGGGCATCCTGGCGTTGTATTTACTTTACTATTACTTACCCAGCCGATGTGCGGCCGCTCTTTTCTTGCAATATTCATCTGAAAACTGTTCAATGTACGCCGACAGCTTCTTCTGGATTTCTTCCGGCACGAGTTGCAGCTCGTCCGGCTGCAGGATGTTGTCCAGGGATTGTGGACCGCTGAGATCCATATTTGTGGTTGCTCACGTCAATCAGTGGTTCAAGTTAATAATAATAAGTTAATAATTATAAGATAATACGGTTTCTTTACTTTTTTTTCACTACGCGGACATCTGCACAGTTTTTGAGACGCGAAAAAATTTCGATATTAGCGATGGGAAACCGTCGATTGGCATCGTCGATTGGATAGTCCGGCATTATCGAATGTTTGTTGTCAGCGGAAAACAATTTAAATTAATTATCTTGTTAAAAATGGATCTAAAAAGCAATAAGCTCAACGAAAATATTGTGTATGTATATTATGTTATTGTAACAGCGTTGAATTTTAATAATTATAATTTACTTAAATTTCTTTTAATGAATATCCGACTATCTGGCAACTTTGCACCTTTGTTATTGTGTGTGCACGTGCGTGGTTTTAGCAATCCGAGCGAGATTCCAGATATTGTATTATTGAATAATGCCCGCCGCCCCCGCCGCCAGCAGCAATGGCAGGCCCACAGAGCCGCACAAGTCCTGGAAGAAGGTAAACGAGGAGCGCAAGGCTCTGAAGCGACAGCGCAAGCAGGAGAAACTACTCAAGGAACTGCAGCAGGCCAAAGAGGCGGAAGACCGCACCGCGGAGGACGCGAGTAAGCAGCAATCGAAGGCGACTCCTAATCCTTCAACGGTCAGCATAGCAGTGCCGGGCTCCATTCTGGAAAATGCCCAATCCAACGAGCTGCGCGCCTACGTTGCCGGTCAAATAGCCCGTGCTGCCTGCATCTTCCGAGTCAACGAGGTAATCGTCTTCGACGACGTGGGCATGGCCACCGCCCGCGAGACGAAGCGCAGCTACGAGCCTGAGGCGGAAGGCAGTAGCACTGGCACCGTGCGCAGCAGCTCCCTGCAGTTGGCCCGCATCCTGCAGTATTTGGAGTGTCCGCAGTACCTGCGCAAGTACTTCTTTCCGCTGCACAAGGACCTCAAGTACTCCGGGCTGCTGAATCCGCTGGACACGCCGCACCACCTTCGACAGCAAAGCAAGTTCCGGTACCGCGAGGGCGTTATTGTTGACAAGAAGGCCAAGGAAGGGCAGAGCTATGCGAACGTGGGCTTGCTAAACGACGTCTTGGTAGACAAGGCCATTGAGCCGGGTGTGAGGGTGACCGTGAAAATTGATCCTGCCAGTGGTAAAACATAAAATTTGATCATTAGATCTGTAGATTAGATCAACTATACTCAGTTAATGTCTTAACTTTCAGAGACCAGCAGAAAGCAGCGTGGAACCCTCGTCAGTCCGGATGAACCACGTCGTGAGACGGGCGTCTATTGGGGCTACCAGGTGCGCATTGCTCACTCACTGTCGGAGATTTTCACCAAGTCCCCCTACGATTCCGGTTACGATGTTACGCTGGGAACCTCGGATCGGGGAACCAATGTTCATGAAGTGCCCAGCCGATCGTATAGCTATAAACACATGCTCATTGTGTTTGGGGGACTTCAGGGACTTGAGTCTGCACTGGCCAACGATGAAAAGCTTACTGTGGACGATCCAGAGTTGCTTTTCGATCACTACGTCAATGTCCTGCCCCGCCAAGGATCAAGGACCATACGCACAGAGGAGGCCTTGCTGATAGCTATGGCGGCGCTGCAGGAGAAGCTGCAGCCGGAGGTGGCCGACGTGGAGACGGACCTAAGCGATCTGCTGCCCAAGAGCGAGGACACTGGCGTACACGTACGCCGAGACGCTTTAGTCAGCAAAAAGCACAAGAGGAAGCTGGTGGAGGAGGATGTTCCTGAGACTCCAGTTGCTATTGAGATTGTCGCGCCAAAAACAGCGCCCAAGGTGGCTCGCCAGACGGCTAACCCATTCTCCAATCCCTCGGAGAACTCGGAAAAAACAATTCCCGCGGATAATTATGATGACTTTGAGGTGGTATCCTCCAGCACAGTTCTTGGAACAAAGCAGGTTGTGGGATCAGATAACGACTTAAGCAGATTCGATTAAATGGAATAGTTTGACTTTTATTTTTGTAAATATACAGATCCATATGTGTGTTGCATAAAGTTGACTTCTTTTGATTTTGTTATTGTTGTTTTTACCCACTAGATTTATATATTTATCCTATATAATGTACTTTGTTGCTGGCATAACTAGCTTTATTCCGGATATTGACATTAACGTTTTTTCTCGAAATTGTTTGCTCTAATAACTGTCTACTTACACACTAAGTTAATACGTTTTAAAATTTCCAACGCGAATGTCAAAGCAAGTGTTAAGGTATTTATCCTCCATACCCAACGACAGACAAATTTGTTCCTCCGCTATATCTTACATACTCTTTGATTGCTTAAACATAATGACCTATGTAGTTGTCCCTATAGGATGGACGCTCGCTTATTTACAGACTGATTATGAAATATGAAGAATGTCGGAAAAGAGAGTTGTTTCGCAATCTCTAAATGTAGTATGTCGCCACATTGTCGCTGGTCATGATTAGCTATGGAATCGAGTCCTGGAATCGCGGCTCTGGCAGGAAGTCCTCCTCCAGCTCGATGCGCGTGTCGCTGTGATAGCCCAGCAGTGATTCGGTGTCCTCCTCCAGGTGGCGGATGGGATAGCTAATGCCGTCGCCAAAGCTATGTTCGATCGAGATAAATATTTATATGTGTTATATGTATATGTCACAGATCAGGTGATCAGAGTTGGGAATTAATAATGGATTATGACTCGGTGCAGTGCAAAAGCAGTTGAAGCTTTCATTTTTTTTTGGCAAATTAAAAACAAACCTTTGTCGCTGAGTCTTGAAAAATATCGCATCCACCTTCAATTCGTTCAAATTATTATTTATATATGTATTTAGGTATAATTAAGGATACAAAAGAATCAAACATCATATCAAAAGGTATAAAAATCAATTAGCAAACAGTAACTAGCTAGACTACAAATTAATTAAAAGCAAATCGAGAAATGCCTAAGTTTCTTGTGTGATTTGTGTACTGAAATCTCCTAGCTTATCATATAGTGCAAGTTCTGGAGATGTTTAGATATCTACAAGTCAAGACCTTATAATAACACAATGAGGAACACCATAGGACTCGACTCTTTCGTGCTGGTTTTAGGATCTTTTGCAATTGCGTTCAAAGGCCAAAGAGATTGGCGTTAACCATCATGTTCTTTTAAAGTCTTTACTAAAAAGGTGAGTGTTTGTGTGATTGGTACAATGAATAATTTAACAAGTTACAAAATCTCTCAACGGTTTAACAATTTTAACTACTGGGATGCTACCCATATTGCCAAGTAGTATTTGCATTCATTTAATTTCAATTACAAAATTCGATCGATTGAAACAACGATAAATGCTTGAATATATATATATGTATAAAAACCTACGGCTAAGCTTAATCAAATGTGGCTATCGAAAGTGGTGCTCGTTGTTTTTGTGTGTTTGTTTGTTGTGGTCCCAGCCATTAAAAATAGCCCAAATTGTACAGTTGATGAATCGCTTCTGGAGGTAACACTTATTGGCCTACTACAAACTGCTTAATCCTCACAAACATCTGGCAGTTTACTCGGATATATAGTACAATACACGTCTACATCTAAGGAAACGGGATAAAATTAGCAAAATTCAAACTGGCAGATCGCCGTTGGGCGGACGCGTTGAATTCTTGACAGATTCAGTTACTGTCCGGGGGTGATCTCCGACCATTTCGATGAACACGGCTCCCTCCTGACTAGACCTGGCTGCTGCCGTGCTGCAGCTTGACGATTGGCCGCTTGCCGCTGGATCTGGCTGCTGGTGCTGCTCCAGGCGCTCGTCCAGGTACGGGGACGTTGGATCGCCCAGGTGCAGTGGTTGCGGTTGCGGTTGCGGTTGCTGGTCGCTGTTGCTTCTTACTTGATGAGGCGATTGGTGGTGGTGGTGGTGATGGTTAGTGGAGTCGTTGGGAATAGCGTCAATCAACTTATCTGTCGGATTGCCATCTAACCTGCTGGACGCCGTCTCCCCCATTGCATCATACCGCTGGACGGGCGGGGAAATGGCTGGATTGGTGGCTGATGGCCGACTCTGGTCGCTGGACGTTGGAAAGCTGTAGCCATCACCGCGACTAATTCCATATGGTTGTGAATAAGCAGAAGGTGGGGAGGGGTATTTGCGTTAAACAGAGAGTTTTAAACAGAAATATTTGTTTTGTTTTGTTTGTTTGTTGTTAGGTTTCGTTTTTCGTTTTCTGCGCTTTATACAGTTTAGCTTGTTGTAATTGTAGCTGTTGTTTGTATATTTGTTTGGTTGTTATATAATTTTGCACAAAATATGTGGAGACAAATATGGAATTAACGGATCGTGTGTGGCAGTGTTTGGTTTTTAGTAAGCTGAGCCTACGGCTACCAAGCGGCCGTTGGCCTTTAAAATTAGTCACTTAATCCCGGAAACATGTCAAAACTGAGCTTTAGCTTTAATAGTATCTCTTGGGCTCGCTGGTTATGCCTTCTCTTGTTTATTCATTTTATTTACAAACAGAAAGAACAAAAGTAAGGTAAATGAAGTGATAATTTTGATTTGGCTTACAGCTAAGTTACAAATGTCAGAAAAGGAGATCAACAACTTCGTTTCGTTGCTTTTCGCTCTCAGTTCTTGGGGACATACAGAGTTATCGGTTTGTCTTACATAAATTATAAGGGTTAATTAATCTAAATTTAGTGAATTTTCGGCTGATTTCACACAGAGCACACATCAAGAATTGAAAAATTGGATAAAGGTGCCTAACTACTAAGCATGAACCTTCAAAGCATGCCTTTAATTTGCCAAATTCAACATTAATAAAGCCAAAATCATAAATAAAACAAAAGCGCACAAGAACAACAACTAAAAAGTGTGTGAGAGAGAGTTTCTAGTGCAGCACGGATTAGTAATTGTAATGGGAATGTGAGAATGCTAAATATTTACGAAAGTGTGTAGTTACATGATCGCGACATACCTGGAGAATACTGGCAGTAACCAGTACTGCCAGTCGTCACCGAACACTTCGCAGAAATTGGCGAATCGTCCCAGATTATAGCCATTCTTATCGGGGCCGCCAACGCGAAAGATGGGAGCTCGAAACGACTCTAAATGGGGAGATAAACACAAAATGTTAAAAATTGGCACTGCACGACACTATTTAGCATTCATTACTCACCCAACGTTGTGCGATTTACCAGCACCAGGTAGATGTGGTAGCCAAACAAGCTCACCAAACTAATGGCAAACATAATGGCGATGAAGAACAGGAACAGGATGTGAAAGCGACCCATTCCGCCGCCATTCAACTGGCCCTGTGCATTATTTTCGTACTTCAATCAGTGAGGACAAGTACAATTTAAGACAAACATTCATATTAACTACTATTTATGCATGCATATAGAAGATATAAAGTAGAACGATCGGAAACTTACGGCACCTACCTTCCAGAACTGCACAAAGTCGTGCAATGTGGTGAAGGCCACGTACAGGCAGTAAACAAGGGCATAGCCCAGGAAAAGCACAAAGAACTTGTAATTGTAAAAGTTTACGCAGTTGTTAACCCAGGGGCAGTGGTGGTCCATCTTTAGCACACAGCAGCTGCAGACGCTGCAGTGATGTGCCCTATCCGGCTTGACTATCTTGCATTTCTCACAGAACCGCACCGAACCGTTCATGGTGCTGGAAGAGTTTATAAATTATCACATCATATGATCAAATTTGTAAAGGTCATATTTTAAGGGTCTTATCGAGCTAAACCACTATTTATACAAAGATAAATTGGAAATTTCTATTAGCTTTAACTGATAGTAGTTCGTTTCAAGATAACATAGCTTTATAAGGGAAAAACTCTTTACCTAATTGAGTTATTATCTTTAAATCTTATCACAAATTACAGCATTAGGCTTTGAAGGTAACATACAATTTTTTTTAAATATAAATAACTTTCCCATTATCTTTACAAAAGTTTCTTAATAAAACTCTATATCATACGAGCATGGTTTCTTCTCCTTATCAGCTATAGTCTTTACGACTTTCTTACCGATTTGTGACTGGCAGATTGCGTGCAAAGTTATTGAGAATGCGTTTTTGAGTCTCGGGGCTGTCGGCCCTAAACAGTCGCGTCACTTCCTCATCCGGAATTCGCCACTGACAATAGATAAACAAAGGTGTTAGCGGGGTCTTTCTCAACGTTCTGTGACTCACTGCTCACCTGTTCGGGAATTCGGCCCACGGAGGTCATGATGGTACGCCAATAGGACCACATAAACAATGTCAGGGAAATGTGATAGAAAAGCAGCATAAAAATCATGCCAATGCCGTTCTCCGAGTTACCTGCCAATAGAAACAAAGTCCATGATTAGTCAGAGTTTTAAGATAAAGATGCACGCGCTCTTACGGATGCACAGCTCCACCACGTAGGCGTAGTAGGACCAGGCTATCACCGCGGTGATGAACAGCACCGGGATCCACTTAAACACCGCCATGCAGAAGCCGCAGGGTGTCTTCCTCCGTCGGTGGTCGTCGTTGCCCATGCTATTTATGGGGCCTACCAAATCGAGGATGGCACGACGGTCTCTGGGCGTGGGTGTGCCCTCCAGCAGCTGGAGCGGACTGGTGCTGGGAACGCTGGGTGACGCTGCTATTGTGGTTGCACCTCCTCCCCTTCTTCCACACAGCGAACGAAACTCGATCCGTAAGGGAGTTCTTTATCTGCAAGTGATTCACTGACTCCGCGGGGCAAGATTGCCAAGCGCTGTCGCTATCCGCTGAGTTCTTCCTCTCGTTGGGCGGGCAGGTGCACGGTGAACACCTTAGCGCAGGGCCATTTTTGTCATTGTTTTAATTAATTTTTGGGCTTATTTTGCATAGCCTGCTCAGTGGAGATGTGAAAACTGCGATACTACATAAATATCGATATATTGACAAAAAAATATCGTCCATACGATATTATTTAAGATACAGAACAATTTTACACGTCTTCTGAAATTTGGGGAGATGGGGCAACGACGATATTAGAGGTGCGACAAAATCGATTTCATATCGACACTATCGATTCTATTGTTATTGGTCGATTATCGATTTGGTTTTGCAAACACTCGACCAGTCTGGCAACGCTTGCTCAATAAATCGGTAATTAAAATAGTATTTTTTGCTGTTATTTTTTTAAACTTGTCCATAGACAGAATTTTTTTATTTTTTGTGTAACAGTAGGTATTCTAGTTTCTTTTAGCTAAGTTTTGAGTAATAAATGCTCAGCTGTTTTCTTCCGAAATTTCGATTATTTTAAGCTTTTTGGAGAGCGTTTGAGCTTTTCGGTCCGAAAGAGCGAAGAAAGCGGCGCGAGAATAAGCTCCGGCTAAGTTCGAAAACCAGGTTGCCTATAAATACGAGTGCATGGACACAAATTTCGAAATCGAAAAAAAAATCGGCCAGCACAGACCACGGAGTCGGAATATAGTGGCTCTATATTTTCGATTTTTCACCGTTCACACTTGTTTACGTTTGCCATTAAAAATATTAAAATAAAAATTAGAAGTTAAAATCGCGCCGGGTGGAAATTGGATACGTGTGCCGTTGTGCGTCGGATCGGCGGATTATGTGCGTTCTCTGAGCGATTCTACACCAAAAATGTAATTGCAACGAAAAGAAAAACCGAAAAAAGCGTGCTCGCCAATTAACTCCAGCGCACACCGCCCCCGCCTCCCCCCATCACTCCCAATAAGATTGTGCAAGTGTATGTAAAAATGTGAGAGAGCAAGCAAAAACAACAAAAAAGCTTCACTACGTGCGCGTAATAAAAAAAAACGAGGCCGAAATGCACGAGAAGGCGGTGGGCGGCGGCGGGTGGTTGGCAGCCGGGGGGGAGGTGTAGGTGGAGGCGACACCCCCCACTGCCCCGAAAATACCATAAACACATACATACATACGAAAAATCTACCTATCTGTGGCGGCCGTGTGGTTGTTGCTGTTACTTGTGGCTGTTACTGTTGGTGTTGTTGTTGGCCAGGTTTATTTTTTTCGGTGGGGGACAATCAATAAACACGAGAGCTGCGTGCGAAAAGAGAGCGGTACAGACATAGAGAGATAGAGAGAGAGGGAGAGACCGAGAGAGAGCGGGATCTCGAAAGAGAGGATTAATAACTTGTGCGCATATGATTCAAATGCCGGTTTTGAGCTTTTCGAGCCAAATACTCATTAAACAAGTGCAGCGATCACCTTGCCGTAATCACTTTCCCTAATCAGTGTCGTTTACCTAATTAGCCAGATCGAATCTCAATTGAAATCAAGTGTAATTAACACCTGCAAGCGGCAAATGCAAGTGCATGCGTGTGTGGGTGTGCTTGAGTTATCGACTTCTATCGAATGGAAAATTGGAAATTGGGTCAGGGGCGACCAGATGCCAATCAGAATTCGCATTTATTATTGCAAACAAAAAGCGAAAACTGAGCCCCAAAACAATTTCGGTTGCAGTGTAGGAGTTACCAAAAGAAACAAATACAAGCATGCATATGTAAATACCTCAATGAATTGCGCTGGCTGAAAATAAATATACAAATACCCAGCGAGATGTTTATTTAAGCGAAAAATTATTTCGTGCACGCACACAGACACAGCCGCACAGTCAACAGACAGTCAGAGGCGGACAATTAATTAAACAATTATATTTGGGGTGAAATTTAAAGTTTAAACAAAACCGAAACAGATAGAAAAACATGCATAAATCATTGATAAACATGCGCTGTGCACAATTCCAATTAGCTTAATTACAGAGCTTTGCTCTTTCGTTTTTGTACCCGATTTCTTATTGGAGTGTGTATAGTAGTATACAAGTTTAAACAAATTTTTAATTTAGTTATAATTTGAGTTTTTGGTGGTTGAAAACGGAGAGACATGTTTTTTTTTTAAACTTTAAACAGTTTCAAGACCAAATTTTATAACAATCAAAAAGCAAAGCCTTTGAAGAAATCATTAAAATCTCAGTAATTACGTTTCTTTCAATCAAAATTTCTTATAAATAACTCTCTGCTGTCGAAACATCAAAGTCAAATGCTCTGTACACACACACACACAACAGCTAAAAGAGCAACAACCACCTCCACCACCGCCTCCCCCAGGAGAATAAATAAGAATTAAAATCAAAAGAAACAACACATCAGCGAAAGTAACAAATTAAATTTGGTTTTAGCCATAAAAAAAGCAAGCAAGGAGTGGAAACAGGAACCAAGAGCCAAGAGCAGCGGAGAGACGAAGGAGGCCAAAGAGGAGCAGCAGGTGGACGCAGGAGATTCACCCGCCTAGAAAGCATCATCATCATCATTATCATCATCAACCTCGTCAGCAGGTGACAGCGATAAACATAAAAAAGTCAGGTGAGCTACCAACAGCCATTTCTCAATGTCCACTTCCATTTCGATTGCGATTTCCATTCTCTTTTCGATTTCCACCTTGATTTCGATTCCGTTCCGATTTTTGTTTGTCTTCCCGTGCGATTAAATATTTCACGCGCTTATCAAATTGCTCAAGGGTTCGCAATTCGCATTGCTTGATAAACACAAACGCCGTCGAAGAACACAACTAAAAAAGCAAACACAAATTGAATAAGCCACCAGCGACGGTTGACTGCTTAAGTAAGACAGGTGAGACAAAGGCAGAGAGAGAGAGGGGAAGAGCTCAGGTGAGAGGCCAGGTGGAGAGTGTGCTGATAGGGGCTCTATGGAATCCGAATAGATATTCATAAATAAACCCACCAGAGCTATTGAAAGGTAGAAAAAAACGTTCTTGTGCAACAATCCAAGTCGGTGGAAAATAAATTTTAATGACTGGGGCTAAGGAATATAGAAAAATCGGTGTAAAGCGATTATTTAGGTGGTTAATTGATGAATCTGGTATTTTACTTGAATATTTCTGAGGTGTCTTAATCAAAGAAATCGCTAGAGTTTCTAAAAAACTATATAAAGATTTAAAAAGTAGCTTTCATAATTTTATATTGTAATGAAAAAAAAAAGAAATATATATACATATAAATATATATTATATATATATTTTTTTAACCTTTCTGGGTATTATTATTTAGTAAGAAGCTTATAAATATGTGAAGGAGTCATTTCCGACCCTATAAACCATATATATTCTTGATCAGCATCGAAAGCTGAATCTTTTAGCTATCTCCGGCAAGGAATTTTTTTTTAAATTTTTTTTAATTTTATAAGGGAGACATCGTTAAAATTTTCAAAAATTAAAAAAAAACATTTTTCATTTAGTATACAGATTTATTACCCTGATAAAAACTAGCATAGGAAAGGTTTCCTAATTGAAATTAAAGATATTTTGACTGATCGATTTCCTGCAGGGGTACACAATTTTTTCCAGAAGTTAGCTTCTTTCTTGTTTTTCAAATATTTCAAAACCATTAGGGATTTCTGAAGCATACTTTATGTGTTTATGAGGTTTCAAATCACTGATTATAAGAAAAGTTTAACTCCTAGATATTAGATATTAACAGAGGAAGTTCTAGAGGTACCCCAAGTTTCACAAATAATTATAAACTAATAATAAAATTATGAAGCTAGCAACTTTCTTGCTTATATTTCTATTAAAACCCTCTCTCAGTCTGTAATTATATTAAAATTTTTCAAAGCTACCCCAAAGATATTTAATTTGAAACATTTATATATCGGAGTATTTCCATGTATTTCCTCCGCTTTTTCGCCATAATCCAACTACTTGTCTTCTTTTGGCCAAATCCTCTTTACTCGTTTCGGCAAACAAAATCCAGATAACGAATTCTACCTCTCCCAAGCCACCGATTGAGGCTGTGTATTTGTAATTAATTCCATTTTGTATACTTGGCATTTTCCCAAAACGACCGAGCGAAAGATAGAGATAGATAGAAAAAAAGAGAGACAGAGAGAGAGAGAAAGAGAGAGAGTAAAAGTGGAGGCCAAAAACCTGGCAATACAGTTGGACACCAACTGTGAACGAAGGAAAGACGACCAGAGCGCCATCCATCAACAGCAAAACACACAATTTCCAAGCCAAATTCAATTCCAAGTTAAGAGGGCGACTTCAATGCGTATTCGATTCAATAGCCCGAGGCCATGCCCCCTCCCATACCCTGGCATTCGACCTCGTGCCTTTAGCCCTAGCTCCAATGCTTGGCCATAAAACTTGGCCCATACAACTTGGCCCATACCCACTCCCACTCCCACTCCCACGCCCACTCCCCTTTTTCACATTGTCGTAGGACGACAGCAGATTCCTGTCATGTCCTCACGTTTCCTGGACCCGTGGAGCTTATGGCCCGGCTTAGTTTCAGCTGGGATTCCTCGTTTATTGATTGATTTTTCCCGCATAATGGGACGTTCAGTAGGTAAAAGCAGCGAGAAATAAAAAGTCATCAATAATATTTCGAAGGGGAAAATGTGCGCTCTAAAAATACAAACAAATTTTTAGTGGTCTCCCTTTTCCGAGAAAGAAAATAAAACGAAACCAAAACTAATGAAAAAGTTGCAACTTTTTGGTTTTGGAAGCCAAAGCGACGGCTTAAAGGCATTTTTATTGACAAGCGCCCTTTCATGTCGACGATCCTGTTGTTCCTCCCATTTGCTGTTGGTCTGGTGGGTTCCTTTCATTTTTACTTTTTGGTATCCTGAACCTGGAATTGACAAGGGTGAAAACACAGGCACAGGCACGTGAAAAACTCATCATAAAAACCGAAGGGACAAAGGCACGGAATAACGCTTCTTTATTGTCTTTCTTCACTCCCCTTTTTTATACATTTCGTTGTTGTTCTTATATATTTTATTCCCGGCGATACATCTTTTATTGTGCGCTCTCCTTTATGCCAAACAATTGGCTGGGAAAATTGTTTTTCAATTTCTGATTCGCAATTAATTTTGCAGTCCGAAAATAGAACGCATCGCATAAACAATGGGGCTGGAAACACGGCGTATGCGCAATATTATATGTATGTACATACATTGCGTATACGTATTTGGTTTCGTTTTCGCACCTGGCCTGGCCTGGCCCGGCCCAAAGAAAAACATGGAAATCAACTTTAGAACTTTCCACCCGAAATTGAGTTGGCATTATTAATTAAGTTGAAAGTTTAATTCAACAGATAATGCCCAAAAGGCAGCTGACGTCAACAGAGAACTTGGACATACGGACGGATGTTGATAAATTATGTGTAAATACGAAATTACCATTTGCAAACTGCAAAAACTGGGTCTAAAGTGAGTCACACTCGAGTCGAGTCGGCGAAAAGTTATGGCGCAGCGCATAATTTGCGTCTTCTTCCGAAAAAGTGGCCAGCAATATATATATATTTTTTTTTGGGCTGCCTGAATAAATAATAAATAATCATAATTTTCCCCGCTCTTCACTCCACTTCACTTTCCTCTGCTTCGAAGAGCAAAAGGCGAAATGAAAAGAAATATTCACACAGCGAAAATTTAATTGTTTGGCCAAAAGGAAAAGGCAAGAAGAAACGAACGGAACGCCACAAAAACGGCCAATAAAAGCCACGACCTTCGTCCAAGAAAGAGCGAACAAAAATCCAAAAAAATAAAAAGAAAAATCCACCCCATGCCGCCCTCTTTTATATATATATATTTTATATGTGCTCAAAGAGGGAAAATCCAGATTTCTATTCAGATTCCATGGGGGGAGCAGCTCTTCAATAATTCGCGTTTTCTTTTATTTTTTTTTAATGTCGGGAGACGTAATTTTCGTTCCAGCAATTAGAATGAGAAAATCGATACGAGACAGCCGCAGAAATTAGACACATTATTAGCACATAATTTTCGTGGGTTTTCTTCTTCGTTTTTCTTTTTGGAAAATTAATAGACTCGCTGATTGCTTTCTTTTTACATTCTGTTACATTTTCACGTTCATTACAGTTGGAATTTACTGCTTCTGTGGGAGACATAAGATGGTGTTGTATTTTTATTTAAATTAAAATGAGCTTCAAGAGATGAGTTTAAGCATTTCTTTTGAGATCTTGAAGATTTTTTAAAGATTTCAAAGAACTTTATCAATTTAAGAGTTACATTTTGAGACTCATTTATTTCCTTGAACTGAATCTTCTTGATTTTTATAAAAATCAAACGTTTGTCAAGTTTTTCTCTTGCGCATATTAAAAACTTATATTTTACCAAACTTCTTCCAACTCCTGGAGCCTCTGCCCATATTTTATGTATCCTTTTTTTTATTTTTAAAACCCTGCAATCTCAAACAAACGAATTTATTTGTCAACTTCTGGGGCTCTTGTGTGCCAAGTGGGATTTGCTTGTCGTGTTTACAGGAAGCTCTTTCCCGTATTCCAGCTTCATTTTCTTAGCTCATTTGATTACACAAACTTGGCGAAGTTTTCCCCCCAGTTTCCCTCAGTTTCTTCCCCATTTTCCTCGGTTTTCTCAGCCTTCTCAGCTTTCTTTTTGTTGCCGGCTAAGACCTTTTCGAACTAATTAGAAGGGCAACCGCATCGCATTTGGCTTTGATGGGATGGCGGGGACAAAGTTTCCATTGGCTGATGCCAGAGCGTTTGTCCCCCTGGAAACTTATCTTGATTAAGTTTTATTTTTCTACCATATAGTATATATATATACGTACTATATATTGAATAAGCGATAAAGTTGCAGGGCGGCGAGATAAGCTGCCGCGGCGCACGTGAGGGAAAAACTATTATTAGTTGGCGGAGTTCAAAAAATAGATTAAGTATGCGCCCTGTCAGCCAATTAACTTGCGATCTACCGAAGGCCTTAGCCCATTATGTTCTGTTGCTCCGATTTCTGACTTGAATTGGGTTTCAATTTCGATTTTCCCAGGTTGTCAATATGCCAGAGATGATGTCGCCCCGATGACAGGTCCCCTCAGAAAATGTGTCATCGTCGGCGAGTGAGCAACGCCCGGCCGCATTTTCCATTTTCATTTTCATGTCGTTTGTGCCTCCTGCTGCTGCTGCTGCGGTTTATTAGTCGTAAATTTTGGACTTGATACATTTATTCTTTGCTTTTTGTCTTTTGTGTTTTTTGGTTTCTGTGCGAAACTCATAAATTTCATTGTCTGCTTTGCGGATTTTAATATGCACAGCATTTGTGTCTGCAGTTTAGAAGAAAACGCAGAGGAAAATTCTGAAATGAAAAGCCACCCACGCATAGGACATATAGATCTATGTATTTCTGGGGAATGGGAATCGTCTGAGGATACTGACCCACTGAATCTCTATGTCTCGAGTCTGTCTCCATCTCAAATCCTCGTCTGATAACTGATAACCTTATCTCTTGCCCCAACTGACGCAGTTTGCCAGGGACTTAGTGATATCTAAAGTCTTGGCTTATCACTATATAGCTTATATCTGGGGTATATA